TTCAGAGCTACGCCAGACGGCTGAAACGATTCATCAACTACGAACTCGCTTCCAGTGCTTCACTTTCATAATCAATTTTCAGGCCACAATGTCCACAATTGGTTTTAAAGATAGGTTTTAGATAATGATTGGGAAAAATCATTACTTTTTATAGCTTTGTAGCTTCATCGTCCTGAAAGCATTAAAGATAAATTTATTTGAATATAACAAAAAGTGTTTTTTGTTGGTTTGTTTTGTAAAACTTCGGAAAAGAAGAAAAAAGTTTCTCTACTCCTGCTGCATTTTATTGACAATTCCCCGATTGTCGGGCGACTTAATGAAGGTGCCCGAGTCGGAGACGAGCAGCGAGCCGGTGATGTTCCGCGCGTCATCCGACACCAGAAAGGAGGCGAGGTGGGCGATGTCCTCCGGCTGACCCAGGCGGCCCATCAGCGACAGCTCGGTCGCCCGCCTGAAGAACTCCTCTCCCACCTCCTGGCTAAGTCCCATCGTCTGGAAGATGGAGGTGTGCACGGGGCCCGGTCTAAAAACAAAAATTTTAGATTTTACTCTCAAAAAATTTTTTCATCATCATCCCTACTTACACGATAGCATTCACCCTAATTCCCTTGGGCCCTAGCTCCAGGGCGGAGCACTGCGTCACCATGTTCAACGCCGCCTTTGAGCTGCTGTACACCAGAAAATAGGGGCGTAGGCTGGTGCCGCTGCTGATGTTCAGGACGCTGCCCTTGGTCGCCTCCAGGTGCGGCACTGCCAACTGGGTCAACTCCACCGGAACTCGTACATTCAGTCGGAAGAGGCGGTCAAACTCTGCCAGCAGCTCGGGGTCTTTGAGGGTGCCCTTTGGACTTCCGGCTCCGGCGTTATTGACCAGCACATCTAACCGGCCAAAGTGAGTCACCGTCTGCTGAAGCAGCTTGGAAGGAAAACCTTCCTCAAGAAGGTTCCCTACGACGATCAGCGGTTCTTGGTTTGGCAATGTTTGACGAATCTGGGCGGCCACCTCTTCTAGGGCGGCCGAGTTGGTGCCCGTGAGAACCAACTGAGCGCCAAATTGGGCAAATTGAATGGCAATGGCCGCCCCGATGCCCGAAGAGGAGCCGGTGATGAGGGCCACTTTGCCTGTAAAATCGTACTTATTGCCGTTGTTGGTTGTTGATGTCATTTTTTGCTTTTCTTGAAAATGCTTTTCAGTTGTTGATTTTTGTGGTTTGTTCACTAATTTACTACTGCCCTGTTTTTATACCAACGACCCTCCAACTTTATTTTGCACTAACAAGGACATCTAACGTTGTGAAAACGCGGTGTTTAATGTTGTTGATTAATGCACTCGTCTTGTGTTCTGTTTGCTTGACAACTGTCAACAGTTGGTCATTTTGAACAACATTTGCCCGAATGCAGCATCCAGTTGGCCGCTGATGGCAGTGAGTTTGCAGACTAATTTTAGCTATGCCGAGCATTAGTTCTTTGCCTAGCTGATTGCCCTGCCACTGATAGTTGCTAGTGTTTTCCAATATATTGCTGCTGTACAACTACTGCTGTACAGCAGGAAACAGCAATTAGGCGTGTGAATCATTTTTAGTATGAAAAAAGTATGATTTTTAATTTGATTCTTTTTGAAAATTTAAACATAAGTTGATAATGTACTTTTTGACGGAAAAAATGACGTGAGAGAGAGAGAGAGAGAGAAGACAAATTATCCAACTTACCACAATGGGGCAATTACTGATTCTGGTCAGATTCAGTGCAAACCAGTTCCAATTCCACCTTTTTTCAACTGAAATCTTGCATTTTTCGTACTTTCCAATCACCACACACTTTTCTGTCTGCTTTTTTGTGAGTCACTGACCACTTCGTTGGTGATTGGAAAATGCTCAGCAGTGCTGACCTTGAGACTTGACAGCAGAGAAAAGTACAATGGCCACTCATTCACTCATTCACTCACTCACTCATCTTTCTTTCTCCTGTCAATAGAAAGTGGTCAGACAATGGCAGTGAAGAGTAAAGTTTGCCCATTTAGTGTTTTTTTTCTATTAATATCTTTGCTTCACTTTAGGAGAGGAGGAGAACCAATACCTGTATTTTTTGAGAAATGCTGACGTCAATGACATCAGCAAAAGTTTTTAAACATGTGATCTAAACTGGTGACTTTTTTGAACAAAGAAAAATCGACTTAAACTCTTGAAGAAGAAAAAGTTTGGAAAACCCAGGTGAAAAGAAGAAATGCTCAGGTGGCAAAAGGTGAAATGGTGAGCACCTTCTTTTGGCTACCACTTTTACTCAAGTTGAGTGACCATCAATGCCGATTAGAAGAGGCAAAAAATGAAAAAGTAAAATAAAGGTAATAAACGAGCAAACCGGACAATGGCAAACATCTCATACGTGCAAAATCATGCGCTGAAAGATGAGATCAAATGTTACTCTGGTTTTGCCCAATTTTTTTTCTTTGTAAAAGAAACAGCAGCAGGTGATCACAGCTGAAAAAACTCACTATATAAACTGGTCAGTTTGCCAGTGAGGCGATCATCAAAGCTCAACAAAAAACATTTCACAACAGCTCAAACAGCAAACAGTCAACAATTGTCAACAAACACGCAAGCAAGCAAACAAAATGCATCTTCCCAGTGGCACTCGCATGTGCCTCCTGCTCGCCTTTGCCTTTCTCCTCATCACCACCGAGTACCCGGAGTTCAGTCGGGTAAAGGGTCCCGGAGTTATTAGTGGGCGTGGCGCCAAGGATCCCAACTCCATTTCCTCAAATCTTGTCTCTGAAGAGTCTGGTGCCTTAGAGGCCTACGATGAACCGGAAGGTGGCGAAATGGGCTCAGACCTTCAACCGGAAACGACCAACATTGGCTACCGGAGCACTATTCTGGTAGAAGCCTGGGGCTACCGACGCTGGGGCGGCGGCTACGGGGGCTACGGCGGTGGCTGGGGATATCGACGAAGGTAAGCTTAATTGTTTTGTATTCAATTAAAAGATTTTTACTTACATTTTTTTCAAAATTTTAGATGGGGCTACGGAGGTAAGAGAAAAGATGATGATGATGATAATGATGATGATTTGGGTTTTCAAATNGGTGGCTGGGGATATCGACGAAGGTAAGCTTAATTGTTTTGTATTCAATTAAAAGATTTTTACTTACATTTTTTTCAAAATTTTAGATGGGGCTACGGAGGTAAGAGAAAAGATGATGATGATGATAATGATGATGATTTGGGTTTTCAAATGTAATCTAACGTTTTTATCACTTTTTTCAAGGTGGTTGGGGCTACCGAAGGCGTTGCTGCTGGGTATGTGTGCTTTGTATTTTTTGGGTGTTTTTGAAAGCCTTTTCATTGCTGTTTTTTATTTTAGGGCAAACGCCGTTAATTTGAANGCTGGGTATGTGTGCTTTGTATTTTTTGGGTGTTTTTGAAAGCCTTTTCATTGCTGTTTTTTATTCTAGGGCAAACGCCGTTAATTCGAGGGAGTTGATTCCTATCTTGGCAAAAGATGACCTGAACTGGTACAAACAATAACTATGTCGTCTTTCTCAACTAACTACTACTACTTTTGACAGCAATTAATAACTTGCCTGTCATCCCAGTGTATCTTTCAAATTGAAACCCACTATTTAAACTAACTAATAATAAAGCGCTCAATAGTGTTCTGCAGAACCACTACTTACAAACTCCCTTATATTGTTTTTATTTTCATTAAAAAAATTGAAATTGTACATTCTTGTTTTGCAAAAACAAATTACCATGTTTGAAATATTTAAAAAGTCATTATTAATGAGTTCTTGGTATTGTTTAAAACTTAAAAAGTTAGTCATTTTGCCGAAAACGGCCTGGGAGTGCACCAAGTCTTGGAAAACACTAACAAAACGCACAAACTGAAATTTGTGCAATGCAATTTTAATTTTTTTTAAAGTTTCCGCTTTAAACTAAAGTTGCTGGCAGCAGCAGCAGCAGTCACTAGTTTTTTTACAAACTGTACAGTGTACACCAACCAAAATAAAGCCAAAAATATTTTATGCAAAAACAACCGTTTACCGGCTTTTCCCCAATAAACACACCCACCAAACAGTACTACCTCAGAATGCTACTCGAAGACGTCCTCTCGCTGTACCTCCTAGTGACCAACTTCTTCTACACGCCCTCTGCCGACCAGGCACGCCAGTACGCCAGCAACGTCCACAAACCGTTGAAAGGGAGGCTACGCCCCCTTCGACTAGCCTACTACGCCTACCTAACAATGGGCGCCCTTCGACTGACGCTGTACAGCGTCCTCAGAGAGCAGTACACGAGGTACGACCTGGCGACTGAAGTCCTCGACTCTGTCACTACCCACCACCTCATTGGCCTCTGTCTGGTGCCCTTCATCGGCCTGTGCATCGCTTACGACTACCTCCTCTGCGTGAAGGCCCACCAGAAGGTGGCCATCATTTTGGTTGACCTTCTGGTGATCAATCAAGGTTTGAAGGCTAAAGAAAATGTTTGGAAAAAAATTTGATCACTATTTTATTTTTTCCGTTTTCAGTGTCTCTAGAGCAGCTGCTAAACAGGCGCAAACTGAACCGAGCCTCTCTCTCCAGCCTCTACTCATTATCCGCTGGTCGTGTACTCGAGCTCCGCTCGAAAGTGGAACATGACGCCCAAGAGCATGTCATGTCGGCGAAAGTCGTACAGCTCCCCAATGGACTCATCGTACAGGACCGCCGTAATGTACAGCAGGTGAACCGATGAGCCGATGCCGTAGAGGAGGTTGAACAGCTGCTGCAGGCCAGAGCTCATCTTCTTATTCCGGTCAAAGAGCTCCTTGCTCATCTCGTAGATGACATGGCGGAAGGAGAAGAGTGGACGATACATCACTTTCTGCTTGCTGACTCCTTCCACTCGACTAAGAGTAGTGCTCACAAAGTAGCAAAAGTTCTTTTGAATTTATAGCTTTTGGTTTGGTTGAAACTTGTAAATTAATAAAGTACCAAATGTAACCTGGAAAAGCCTAACCTTGATGGTGAATAATGGACATTTTGCCTGCTAATTAGCATTCTTTACATTAGAAAAGAATCAATACACTTTAGGGTTTTCATGTGGGGAAATGTGCTTTTTTGTGGTTGAGTAATACTTTTGCTCGTCTAATTCAAGTACAAAGGAACAAAAAATGCAACGCTTTTAAATTCTAATTAGTAAATTCAACTACTGTTGTTTGGGTTGAATAGTTGAAGAATAAAAACGTAGGGTAACTTACGTTGATGATGGTGTACTTTTTGATGATGAAAAGTTGACGACAGTTGAACAAAAGAAAAGAATCACTGCACTCAGTTTGCTGCATTCGAAGACAGAGCAGAATTTTCCGTAGTTTCAGTAGATGATAGAGAAGCAATGCAACTGAACAGTTCCTCAAGTTGATCGCAGTAGGCGTACAGTGGCTTCGGCTCTTTGGAGCACTTCCTTTTAGTCTCCTCCTCCTCCTCCTCTGGGAAGACCATAAAAGGCTCCATCTTTTCGGGAATCTTCAGCTTTTCCGGTT